ATGTGCAGGATATAGGGCTGAAAATGCAGAAATGCAGGCAGTTCCGGCTTGTGGGAGGAACAGTTCAGCTGCACAGCTTGCAACTTTAGCAGCAGGATGTGCTTATGTTTAAATGTAATCACTAGGTTTCAGAGTCAACATGCATCAAGATGTTCCCTCCAAGGCTTCCCATTCACAGTGACTATTTCAAAGTGGTTGCAGATTCAAACATGTGGCTGCATCTGCCTCACCCCATTCACACCTGGAAGGTGCACTTGCTATGACTGACACCTGGCAATGACACTTTTTAGACACTGAGGTCCTGGAACACAGTTCCGTGACAAAGGTGGATTTCCCAGGAAGCCTTGCAATGCAGAACAGGCATTCATATCCACCACCCAAACCCCACACCCACACCCACTCCCAACGCAGCCCTTGCCTGGCAAACAAGAACCAGATCAGGATGATTTTAGAGCTGGCCAGTGACATGCTCTAATCATCCAGCAATGCTCTATAATACGAGGCCATTTCAGCCTCAATGTAGTGTCTGTGCTTGGTGCTCCAGAGCTCAGCTCCATTACATGTTGCACAAAGCCTCCAAAGTTAACAAAGCACTGAGATGTCACATTATCACACACCATTCTCCTGCAAACCTATGGGCGCTTGTTCTGCCCAAGCCAAAGAGGCACTGCAGGGCAGAGCAAGCTCTGGCAGAAGAGGAAAGGAGCTTGGGGAAGGACTCTGAGCAAAACATCTGCCAAGCTAGCATGCTTTACCTGTGCCCTGCCTGCTAATGCATGAACACCGGTACATCTAGTGGCTCAGCCCAGCTGGAGAACAGGTACCACCTGTGCCAGCTTGGGTAACCAGAGCTAGCACAGGACAAATGAGCTCAGGGCCAAGCGTCCGGCTCCCAGAAAGGAAGCCCTTCTTCACTGAAGGGCTGTGTGCTTACAGTACAGAGAACATGAGATGTAATGGTGGCTAGATCTTGGTACTTGCAAGCAGGCAGTCAGAATCCTCTCACCCAGAGCCCTGCCTGGGCACCTTGCTGCCATGACAGTCCCTGGTATCAGCACTGGGGCCAACAGAGCTCTGCCAGTGTGCCTCAGATCCAAGCCCATTACCACAGCCCCTTAGTTGTGACCCCACAGTAGCCTCTATTAGCCCAGTCCTGGAGTTCCCTTTTCCTCAGTCCTTGCCCTTGAGCCCTGAGGTACTGGACTGTGAGCAAGAACAATCTAAAATAAGCAGTGCACTGGGCAGGGGTGAGGGCTCAGAGGTGATACAACTCATGGGCCTAATATGGCAGCCCCTGTAGTCCCCCCAGGAAGGAAAACCCTGCCAGGAGCTCATGTCTACTGTCCACCTGAAGCCCAAGCTGCATGCTGCCCTACTAATGCATGCAGTCTTGCAAAATAAGCAATGGAGCCAGATGTGGCTCTCGTAGCAAGCTGAACATAGCAATCCCACTCACCCCTCACCCAGGAGGAGAGCTGGGTTTGGAGTGGAGTGCCCACACACTCTGCCTTGTACAATATAACCACAGAGATCTGATGCAACGGTGATGGACTGGGAGCACAATCAGAGTGGCCCCTGGCCAGCAAACACAGCCTCAACTTTGACCTGGGAGGGAAGGTAGTATGTGCCGTGGCTGAGTTACAGCTGCACCTGGCTCTGGGTTTTTAGTGGAGCAAGCCAAGAGCTCAGGGAACAGCAGTGAGCACCTGAGTCTGAGCATCCCCTTGTCAGCCAGCTCTGAGAAGAACCACTGGGGCTGCAGCATTGCAAAGCTCTCAACTTTTCACAGCATCCAGTTTGAGGGCTGCTCTCTAGGGAGCCCCAAACCCCAGTGTGCAAAGCACAGGGGAGCAGGGAGAGAGCAAAAATAAATGGGCCTGGACAGAAAAACAGCTCCATGGTCCCTCAGGATGATGCTTCAGCAACAATAGCCTGATGCAATCCCCAGGCCAGCCTTGCAGAGCCTGGCTGGGGACTTGTGCCTGAGACGCTACTCTTAAAAGTGCTGGCTTTAAATAAGGGAGAGAGAATAACATGTTTTGAAACAAATGTGTCTAAGAACAGAAACCAGGCTGCACCCAGGGACCTGCAGCTGCACCTCCTGGCAACCTGGCAGGAACCATGCACGATGCAAGCTTGATGTGGCGATCCTAACTCCAGGAACCACGGCTGAAACCAGAGGCAGCAAGAGCCAGGATCGAGGTGCCACTCTGCTACTCCTAACACCATCAAAGCACTTTACAGAGACCCCTGCCTCACAACAGCCCTTCTGCCAGCTCTGGCAGACAGAACTGCCCATAGGTGAGATGGACCCGCCTAGTCTGGAGGTTCGTCTCCAATGCAGACACGGGCCCTTAGGGGCTATATCCCATCAACTGGTTACCGAGCTCCAAGCAACAGGGATCCTATCACCGCCCGGATCCTCATTGTCACCATCAAGCTCCATCGTCTCCATTTTGCAGATGGGATGCATGAGGCGCAGAGAAGGGACGGGGCTTGTACAGTACTAGGACCCAAGAGTCCTGGCCCCTACACCCTAGACCATGCTCCCCAGGGTTGGTGCTAGTCTCACCTGGAGTTTTGGTAATCCTCTCAGCAAGCCAAGCCCGGATGAATGTTACATACTAGGCCAGGGATCCTCTCAGGCAGAGGCCTGGCTTTGGATCAGGAGAGCTGATAAAGTCTCAGCTCTGCCTGGGTCCTTGAAGCCACGATAAAGCAGCTTTCTCATGCAAGAAGTCCAGCTCCCTGCTGGTATGCTCTCAGATGTGTTGGGAACAGCCACCACCCATCATTCCTCCCCTCACCCTCACTCCCCGGTCCCCAGCTACCCCATCAAATAATTCAGCAGAAAATAGCCAGTGCACCTGCTACTCCTTCCAAGTGCCACCCTGAGGGCATTGACTCAGCCTTGCCCAGTGTGACGCCTTCTCCCACAGAAAGGCTGGTTCCCCTCACCCCATGGTGTCACTTTATGACCCAGCTTCTGCCTTCTCCCCACTCTACGCACCAACCAGGTCAAGTCCTCAGGCACAGCAAGCCTTCTGCGTACCCGCTTTGCTCGGGGTAGAGCTCGCCTTGCCTCTGGGAGTGATCAAGTCATACCATGTTTCTTTGTTGGGCTGGATTCTCCACAGGGGAAGTCCAGCAAGAGTCCCTTGCCTGGCACTTGCTGTGCAATGGGAAAACACCTGTTGCCAGACAGTACCCAGTAATCAAGATGCCCTGTGTCGATCAGGAGGTTAACTGGTATCCTCAGAAACAGGCTCTGCCCTACTCAGCCCCACTCCCTGCAACATCAGTGAACTGGTGGGTTATCGCAGAGCCCATAAATCAATCACAGGGCAAGATGGTTACTTCAGTGCAGATGCTCAGACATGCATTCCTTGGTTTCTGGCTTCAGGGACAGTTCATAGGAGGCCCAGAGCTGCAGATGCAAAATCAAAGCCTCCCCCCCACAACACCCCAACCTCAGGGCCAAGATTCATAACCAGGTGAGTGGTAAGACAACAGGGACTCTGCTCCCTTAGCTGTGTTTATGCCAGGGCTTTGCTTCATTGTAGTGAGACCTGAACAGCAACAGGCTTAGAGATGGGCAAATCATTGATTTTTTTTCTCTTCCCTGGCTGAACAGAGAAACTGAAAACACTAAAATGGTGTCAGCTTGACCTAAAACTGAGCCCTTTCCAGCTTTGTCAGCAAACAGGAAACCAGACTGAAATACAGCTTCAGGTTGACCAAAATGGTTAATTCAACCTGAAACAGAGTATTTTGTTTGGGGAGGAGGGGCAGCAATGGATTTATGCCATATTTCTTTTTAGCAAATATGAGCAAACTTAGTCTGGAAACATCATTCCTAAACAAAACCCAAACCCATTTGCTTTGAAAATGCTAAGACAATGCATGTCACTTTTTTCAATTCCCACCCCACCCCCTCATTTTTCCTGCCCAAATGACTCATTGGATTTAGCCTGAATTTAGGATCATTTTGGTCGACACAACACTGTGGTTTTTTTCTGGCAACTGATTCATCTGAAAAAAATGAATCTATCCACGTACTGGAAGAGAGGGAACAGGGGCACTAGGTCACAAATTACAGGTCACCAGCTACACAAAACTCAGTGGCAACCATGAAATCAGATGGTGGGGTCTATTCTAGGCTCTGCCACTGACTCACTTCATTCTGGGCCTCAGTTTTCCCTCTGCAAAATGGGGATAATGCCACTGACTGCCTCACCCCCTCTCCTTTGCAATGCATCACACATTATGGATTAAAATGAGCATTCTCCCTGCATAGCAAGACAGTCCCCTGGAGAGGATTCCTCCTCCCTTAAACAAAGCATTATACCCTTCCAGCATATCACCATACCTTCCATTTCCTTGTCCCTTGGTATTTGCTACTCCCTGTCACTGCCTCCCAGG